ATTTCCAATTTTTCACACACACACACACGCCCATTTTGCCCATTTCCCATGGTGTGTGCACACCTTAACGCCTCAAAAACCTCTCGAAACTCAATTGGCATACATGGTGGTGGTAATTTTGTACCCTCTTAATCAATTAAGTCATCGTCATCGTCGTCACAATTGGTGTTTGTTTTCGCATTCTGCTTGTGTATTTGTTGTTGCACACGTACCTCTCGACTCATCGCGGGAGCATGTACAAATATTGCTCATAGTTATCTGTATGGGCTCATTGTCTTGGTATTGACTTTTTATTGTCGTGTGTTTTTTGTTATTTTTATTTGTGCCTTCACTTAGTACCGTTGCTTTTTTATGCCCTGCACAGGGTATATTAAGTTTCCCACAAAGTTCGTAACACCCAGATATGTCGAAGACCCTATAAAATAAATGATCTGCGTGACGAGTCATCAATAAAATCTCCGAACAAATTGTTCAGATTGGACCACTATAGCATATAGCTGTCACACAAACTGTCCGATCAAAATCGAGTTCTTATGAAAAAACTTAAACCTGTGAAGGGTATTATTGATGCGGAACCGAAGTCAATGTTTTTTCTTGTTTTAATTCTTATTTGGTTATTATTGCTTTTGTTGTTGTTTACGAAATCAACACGTGTCTTTGTATACTTTTCCCATTGTATTGTATACTATTGGTGGCTTACTTTCTTTTTGTGCTCGAACTGCAGGCGGGCCATCCCTTGTCATCCGAGCCCATCTTGCCAACTTTTTATGCCGATTATCAATCGGCGGGCCATCAACAACGTACGCTCGGTGTGCAGCTAATTAAGTTGTACCCAACTGCAATGTCTACTAAATTATTTCATTAAACAAAGAAACGGAAAGAAGACATGAATAAAGTGCGTTATAATTGAATAAAAAAAAGAAACTGTCATAAGCGCGCCTGAAAATAGATTGCACTTAACGCTTGATATTTTTTTTTTGTTACTTGTATCGAATATTGTAATCTTGTGTTTAATAATGTAATCTTGTTACATCAGTAGGTTTCTATTGAAATTTATAGGATTTATTATTGACGCTCTAATACTTAGTTTGTAATCCAAGCACACCATCGAAAAGCCGGAGTTCATTTTTAATTTATTTGAGGCGAAACGTTATTAGAACTTCGCTTGTGCATATTAACTAGCTTGCATTTTGGTGATCTCTTCCCAATTTTTTATTGCTTATTGAAAATTTATGCATATACGAGTATTCGATTACACTTCCAATACAAAGCCTACCAACGCAGATCATTGTCTACTTTTGAGCGCGGCGCTATAAAAATGTTAGAAAATATCTACAAACCATGAGCAAAAACAACAAATTTCAATAATACAAAAAGCAAAATTTCGTGACTTAAAGTACGGGATCCGGAAGTGTTTGCGATATATATTCGGTATCGAGATTGGGTGTTCACTTTCAAGCAATATATTTAAAATTTATGAGTATATTCCATCACACTTTTGATATTACGAGATACTTCGTGAATCATTGCATACTTTTGAGCGCGTCGCTGACAAAAAAGAGATTAGAAGCAAATCTAATAATGTTTAGAAAATAACTGCTGTAAACAAGCAAAAAATTTAATTTAAATAATAAAAAATCCAAAATTTCGCAACTTAATAAACAGAATCCTGAAATTTTAGTGAAATATTTTGATTATTGCCTACTTTTAAGCGCGGCGCTGACAGAAAAAGAGATTAGCACACAAATAATAATGTCTAGAAAATAATTTCAAACCACGAGCAAAAACAACAAATTTAAAATAAACTTCGAAATTTCAGCATTTAATATACGGGACCCCAAAATTTTTGTGATATATTTTTCCGATCGGGATTGGGTATTTATTTTTGATCATTATGGTCTCATGCCGAATACAGCAAAACAATAATTATTTTCAATCTTGGTTCACTACACTTGTAGTGCATACTTACGAGCGCCGCGCTATCTGTTTGCAATCGCAGTTGCAAATACAGCAAGAGTTTAAAATGGATTTTAAATTGTGTTTAAATGTTATTGTAGACTATAAAAACTCAAATATACTTGTAACTTTATTTTAGAATTTGATAATAGATAATAGCGATTAGCAAAATCCATGATCCTGAATATTTTCAGATATTGCATGATTTATGTTGATTTAATTTCGATTTAATATACATACAAATATGTAATATGGCCTGCTATCTATTCACTGTATTCTGAATATCGGCATAAAACATGAAATTCTATAAAAATCAGTTGTTGATAAAAGATGACATCTAGGAGATACAAAAAAACTTCCGAGCTGCACTGTTTCAAGATATCTATCTCAGGAAACATTGCAGCGGTTCTTGAAAAGGTGTCAAACATAAAAATGTAAAAATCAGAAGACGTTCCTAACTGTTCATAGTACCAGAATGAAAAAATCGTGTAATGAAACTATAATGCGGCAATTTTGTCTAGAGAAAAAATATTTCTTTAACTGTGTCTCGTAATTCATTTAATATTCACAAGTAGGTAGCAAACGATTTCCGGTTCTGCCGCTCTACTTGAAGCTAAAATTACAAACGCACCATTAATTCCTTTTTTTTTAAATTGATTGCCTTCCCTGTCTCTAACCACCAATGATTGATTTCTGGCACTGTCGCAAAATTTTCGCAAACATCAATCAATAAACTTGTTTTTCAAGATTTTTAAGGCACGTGCGTCTTTTCAGGTGCGGCGAAACTCAGCTGCGCGAAATCTTAAAATGAAAAATTGCAATTGCAAAATTTAATTGAATAAAGATTGACGGAAGTTGGCAGCAAATAATTTACGTAAATTAAAAAATATTGAAGTGAAGCTCTCATCTGGATATATCTGTCATTAATCAAGGCAGTAAGGAAACATAGCAGAGGGCTCAGTTATTGGTAGTCAAGTTCATCTTTACTCGATATTTCCGCCAGGTCTGTTATACATACCATATATCATTAAATGAATTCGCTGGTATCTTTTTCTTCACTAATTCTAGCATCTGATTTTTAAATAAGACGATTCCAAGGCTACAATAAGTGAACCACATTGAGTTTTCTAAACTAATAATTCAGAGTGGAAGTAGATCAGTTTCGCGATCTTATAGCTCCAAGCCTCATTATAACTGATTTCAGTTTAATTTACTGGCATCGCAAGATATGGCTATTCCGACGCAACTTTTTATTGCTGTTATTGTTTTTTTTTTGGCATATTCTTTTCATCGACCTACGGAGCCTTCCATTTTCTTCTTACCATTGCTTAATTGATAGTATAGAGAAGTAAATTCCTTTGTAAAAACATTTTATTTTGAAACCGATGAAAGTGTGTACATATAATTTTCCTACCTTAAGGCAATCAGCTATTGCGGTTTAACCATCCTGCTTATATATGTTTCATAATAATATAAATCTCTCATAGTTCTCATATCTGTATATCGATATTATCATAGCTTTCTCTACGCAGTCTAATTTAGATTCATCGTCCCCGGTATTCTTTTTCGGAGCTCAAGATCTTCTCTGTGCTCCATTTTAGAACTGTTAATCTGAATGCTGAAAGCATAAGTAAAGGGTAATTTGAAAGATGAGCATAAAAGCTTTTAACTAAATTCAAGGAAGTGCTATGAAAGCTTTGAGAACTTTTCACCTTATAATGTACTCAATATATGACGGGTACTTCTTTAGACTTGTGGTTTTCCATAAGGCTATACTTTTTTCGGAGTTGTTTTTTTCACAGCTGTTACTTGATTTATACTCAGTAAATTATGCCATTTCATAATGAATAGACTTATTGCGACTGCGTCCAATACTCGGTTGACATAATCGCTCAGCAGAGTCGGTAATTCGTGCAGTCGTAGACCCGTTACGCACCACGTTTACTCTAGTGAATAATACTCATCCTTAAAAAAGCTGTTAAGTGCGCACCGAAGACGGTATTGTTGCTGTGGAGCAGAGTATTGAAGACCCGTATGAGTCTATCCGCCATCGCACGCAGCAATTGGAAGATTTTGTGGAGGGATCTTGGTTTGCTTACAAAGTCCAACTCGCGCAAGAACTGAAACCGAACAACCAGCAAGCGCGTCGCATGTTCGGTGAGTGGGCTCAGAACGAGATGGCCACCGATCCCGATTTGATGATAATCCATAAACCATTTTTGAGACGCCTTTACATTCTCAAAAAGTCACTGTTTGGTGTGCTTTATGGGCAGAAGGTATCATTGGTTTATACTTCTTCAAAAATGTACATAGGTACAACCAACGATACAATAAATTTGTTGAAGGAAATTTTTCTCTAAGTTCACGTAGATAAGCTCGAGACGATTGCCATTTTGAAAGGGAATGTTCGGCGGGATATTGCTGACGTATGGCCCCAGTTGCTGCAAAAAGTGGTTGAAAATTGGTCCTCTCGGCTGGAATTTATTCGAGTCACTTGCCGGAAAACCTTTTTGAAACTGCTTGTCAAACCCTTATCTTAATAATAAAGCTAAATTCTTGGCCATAACATTAAGTTATACCCGTTTTATTTCTTCTTAAAAACCACATGTCTAAATATCATACCTCTCCTTTTCTCCTGGAAAACGAATTTAACTTAAATTTTTTTTGCTGCAGTTGAGTAACGAGCAGGAGGTTAACAATTTCGCAAATTGTTCCGCAAGAAAATATTTGGTCTGACAAATAAGCTTGGCAGCTAAGTCTGACAGCTGGCAAAAATACAACTCTGCCGTTTACCTAACTGTTTAATATCATGCAATTAAATGAAATAGTACTTGTGATCCCTCTTAAGCCTTGTATTTTATATTAAATGTTTGTCTTAAGGTTAAAAAATATATACGTATATACTTCTTTATTTAATTGTATTCTTAACTGCTTTTGCACGAAAAAAATTTGTAGAAGTATGTATTTCTTATTTCCTTGCAATTTTCCTTTTTTCTCATAACAAAACAGAAATAATTATATGTATTTGTCTTTTTTAATTTCAGGCAACCATTATTCGACTGATTAACTACAACAATTTTTCAGAATAACAACAAAAAAAACGGCAATTAAAATTTGAGAACGAAACGAGTGTCAAAAAAATGCGGTGAGTACAAAAAAAAATTATTCATTGCCACAATTTGTCTGAGTGACTGAATTTTTTTTTAATTTTTGTATAAAAACATATACTATATGCATATATTTGTTTTCTGACTTTTGAACACGAAAGGGTTGCTCTTTGCATAAGTATCTAGTTTTTTTCTGATTCTTCTAGCTCGGCGAATGTTATGCGCTTCATTACATATTCACCACGTGTCCGCTGTCTGTCTGTCGGTCCGTTTTGCGAATTTCATTTAAGGACATCATTTTTTAAAATGTTAACTGTCACACTGTTAAGGAGATATTAGAAAAACAAGATAAATGATTTAGTAACAAGCAATGGGGCGGGTGGCAATTGAGTGGAAGTGGGCTTAGCCGCTACAGGAAAAATTCAAAAAACGAAATGATAAAAAAGAAGAAACAATTTCAACAAAACTAGTAGCAATAAATAGAAAATACAAAAAAAATTTGAAAAACTGAAAGGATAAAGGTTGACACTTACATTTAACAGCATATTAACCAAATGAGCGCAGAACGTGCGTGACAAAAGGTAACAACACTGTGGCAGCCCTTTCCCTGTCATTTATAGGTATGTAAAGTTAGTTGTATTAGGTCTCCATCATTTTTTATATTAAATTAAAGGTTTTATTTAGCATAGTTAAAATGACCCGTCCTTAGCTAAATATGCACCGGTTTGTGCGATAACTTGTTGCCATTTTTAAGGTAATTTCATAATGCCACTCTCATAGCAACCATTGTCTCAATTGGCAAAAAACTGGAGCAGTCGATTTTCACAAGCTTCTCTTGAGGCGAATTTAGCATCAGCAAAAAAATTTGCAATAGACAGAAACAAGTAGTAATTAAGTCTGAACTATAAGGTGGATGCATAAGAATCTCCCAACCAAGCTTTCGGAGCTTCTGGCTCTCAATTTGTTGTCCTGAATGTCACGACCAGGATGCTTTTCGTAAATACGTATAGAACAATAACGCTGTTACCAATCAAGCAGCGAAACATAAATTTGAAAAAAAAATACTATAGGAGTGAGCTATTTCAGCCGAACTTGATAGGACTCATACAACGGTTAACAATTTTACGCCCGGGATGGCAAAATAGGGAGCCGGTGTCAAAATTGTACGATGGGCATGGCACCGCTCACCATTAGGTGAAATCTCATATCTCAGTACCTACTCAACCATTTTCAACCAAATTCGGTAGCTGACTTAATCCTGGCGTTCCCATGTTACGAAATCGGACTACAACCACGCCTACTTTCTATATAAAATAACTTCAAATTCCATCTGATTATCTCACTTCCAGCATACAAATTAAGCAGCCGTGAATATATCGGGTTAAAAATTTAGAGAAATAGTGCCGGTATGCAATCTAGAAATTGTAAAACTCGGACCATAAATGTTTATGCTCCCAGATACCGAATTTGTGGACCCCAGCACCTATGGGTAACATTTTACTTCAAATACCGGTCAACGTGTGAGATATACTATTGATTCGCAAAGAATCCTTTTCTGATTATAGTATGTCTGTATGTCAAAACTAGATTGAATCGGGTCAATACTTCTCTTAGCCCCATATACCTAATATAAAGACTTTCGAACTTCCGATTGACTTTATATCGCATATATCGTTCCAAAAGCGAGCAATCTTAATAAAATTGAGTGTACATGTTTTTCCAATAACGTGACAAAAATGGATAAAATCGGTTAAAAACTTGCCCCATATAACTAATATTAAGTTTTTGAAACATTCCGTTGACTTTACTCCTTATATATAGGTTGGTTGAAAAGTTTCTGCGCTCGAAATGAAAAAATACTGTTTTTGGTACAACATTTTTTTTTAATTCAATATAATTTCCCTTAACTTCAATACACTTATTCCAATGATCCTCCAACAATTTTATGCCATACCTATAATGACTTTACGAAAGCTCAGCCAAACACCCGTCTACGGCTGTAATAGCTTCTGCATTCCACGAAAAAAGCTTTCCACGAAGGAATTGTTTCAGGTATCTGAAGAGATAATAGTCGCTGGGAGCCAAATCTGGTAAATACGGTGGATGCTCGAGCTATCCGTACTTTAATTCGTTGAATTTTGTCAGTGTTGAAACCCCTTTTTTGAGCAGATGCATTGTCTTGATGAAAAATGATTTTTTGTGCTGCAAACCAGGTCTTTTCTCACAAATTTTTTCATCCTGCTGATCCAAAAGGTTGCAATATTGTTCAGAGTTGATTGTTTTACCTTTCTGCAGATAATCCTTAAATAAAATTCCTTTTGCATCCCAAAAAACTGATGCTATAACTCACTTCGCTGATCCTTGTGACTTCACCTGCTTTGGAGCTGAGCAACCAGCTTCAGTCCACTGTAAACGTTCTTGTTTCAAATTTTAAACATGGTGGTAGATCCAAGTCTTATCCATAGCTATAAAACGTCGCAAGAAATCGGTTTAATTCTGCATAAAATGCTCCAAATTATGCTGGGACATTTGTTTTCGATACAGTTTTTGTTGAATTGTTAACGTGTGCGGCACTAACTCTCCAAACAGCTTTTTCATATTTAATTCTCCATGTAAAACATGAAGTACTCGTATGTCTGAGATGCCTATGGCATTAGCAATTTCACGCTTAGTCAAACTAAGATCTTCCCTAACAATAGTATGAACTTTCTTAATGATTTCTGCTGTAGCTACGGCTTTTGGTCGTTCTCCGCGTGGAGCGTCCTCAAGCCTAGTACGATTATATGTAAATTCACCAGCCCAAAACTCAACGGTGCATTTTTAGGGTGAACACTCCTCATACACTTCTAACATTTCTTCATAAATTTGCTTTGCTTTAAACCTTTCAAAACAAAAAATCTAATAACCGCGCGATATTCAATTTTTTCCATATTAAAAAATATCCTGTCAAGTCAACTTCAAATAGCTTTTATACAAAGAATTAATTGACAGAATGTCTTGTAACTTTGCATGTCTTCTCACGACAGATGTATCAACTTGAGAAAAAAAAATGTTTGAGCTAGTAGTGCTATTTCTTGGTGAGAGCCGACACTGTTCAACCAACCTGTATATTATTGTTGATGGCTTATGAGGTACCTTAATGAAACAGATAAAATCGGCTTTTCGATAACTATAGAAAATGTGTGAAATATCACCACAGCTCCAATATGCTGCTTATAATGATTTTCATTATTCTAGCAGGCTCTATACCGAATATGTCGGTCCGTGTGTGAGTTATCTTTCTAAAATTGCTTCAGAACATGTTTTCGAATATTGATGCAATCAGTTCAGATCGTCCTCTAGCCCCAATATACCCAATTTATGACATTTAAGTATATTTATTTCATATAACTTTTTTCTGATGCTCAATCGCAATTCATGTTTTAACCGAAATGCAGTCATTAACTTTTGTTGTTGTTACAATTTCTTTACATATTCACTGATCATAACAATTCATTGTCGCAATTTATAGCCGACCACGAGCCTTTAAACAAACATACAGGCATGCATATCCTTAAAGTAAACTCCCGGTGGGTATCATGTTGTTCGTTTACGAGTCGTTGATGAAGTATTAAGTATTAAGTATATGAATGCATTCAATTGGAAAACCACTATTTGGACATATGTTGGCATTGTTTACGCTCCTGGCGTTTAAATACTGCACAAGCAGGGGTCATAGGGTGACTTACACCACAAAGATACTAAAACACACACATATATAACATGCCTAAAATTTTACTTATGAAAACCTACCGCTTGTCTGCCTGCTTTTCTATGCATATAATATTATAATATATGTTGTTGCTCTTGTTGTTGTTGTGCACGTTAATAAATCGCTGTGTGTTGTAGTAAATTAAGTGAACAATGTTGTACGTCGGTCGGTCGTAGTTGTTGTGACAGATGGTAGGTGACTGCCTGCTGCATTGATGATTAGGCGACTTTTTGGTTTTTATATACCGTTATTTATTTGCTTTGCGGACAGAAAAGTTGACTATTTGATTTTCATTCATTGCATTTGGTTGAGTTAATTTGTAAAAGTACGGTTGAGGATTGTTTAAAAGTTACACTTAGTGTTGTATATATGGTACGTTAGTACTTGGGTAGATTCAGTATCCATAGTGGTAAAAAGAAACTTACATGGTCCTAAGACCCAGAGCTCGCCAGTAAGTAGTTTCCAGAACTCTTCTGGCTTTACTACCAAAGAGCTTACGAAACCCCGATAGCTTGTAGCTTAGACTTGGGACGCTAAACAAGATTGTATGTAATATTTTGAATCCGGTTTTTGAAGAGTACACACTTGAGATATTGCACAGTACTAGAAATAAGACCAGTATTTTTCTGTAGTGCAAAGTTTAGAGCCATCAGAAATTTTAAAATCTTAAATCTCTTACAACGACTTGATTATGTTAGGCTCGATGGCAGACCCTCACGCTTTTAATCGCACTTGGACTATTATATGCAGTTATATTCCCAGCTTTAACAGCTAGCATACGGTAAGATTCTCAACTTTACATCGTGGATGCCGATGTGGCTTTGACTTTTAAAACCCTCACAACTAGGGAGAAGCTAGCCTTACTGAAGGCAAAGAGCACACTGGATCTCTTGCAATCGACCTTGGCACAAAAGGATCTTGCGACAGCGTAAGGACTTACGATAGCTCAGCATGATCAAGCTCCCGGAGCACCGACCCCTTCCCATTTTACTGATAGTGGGGCTTGGGTGCCTATCCTAGCCAGCTCGTCAGCTTTGCAATTACAAGCAATTCCGCTGTGGCCTGGCACCCATACTAGTCTTATCAAAAGGTGTCTCGATGACATTGATAACGCGATTTGGCATTGCTTAACCAGGCTTGAACGCACGGCAGAACTATATCTTCTCCATGGTAGAGCTTTCATTCTGTTTGATTTCAACTTAGTTCAAAAATTAATGTTGTAGAACATTCTTATAAATAATACCAGTCGAAAAGATTTGTTACTCGCACTTCAATAAATATTTTCTT